TTTATTTATTTTTAAAAGTTTGAGACAGGGTCTCACTAAGTCATTAAATCATCCAGGCTGGACTTGAATTTGCCATCCTCTTGCCTAAGCCTCCTAGAGTGCTGGAATTATAGGCATGTGCAGTCATGCCCAGCTATAGATCATTTTTATTGTGTAAAAGAATCATGCAATTTTCTTACTCAGAATCTGCTTACATTTTTCTATTGTTTTGGGAACAAAATTTGAACTGCTTGTCATATTATATCAGACCCTATGCAGTTCTCCCTGCCTTCCTAGCTTCATCTCCTGCTAGACTCTATCATGTCAGTTGCTCTTGCCATCTTGGGCTTCCTTCTTGCTAGTCTTTGAACATGCCAAGGTCATTTCCTTCCAGAGCTTTTTAAAATTCTATTCTCAAAAACTTTGTATGGCTTACTCTTTTGCTTAATTCACTTTCTCTTCAAGTATTCCTTTATAAGAAACACCTTCTGAATGAATACTCTCTCAATCATCTTCTATCTTTTTATTATGCTTTATTATTATTATTATTATTATTATTATTATTATTATTATTTTATGTGGTACTAGGGATCGAACTCAGGACCTTGTGCTTGCAAGGCAGGTGGTGGAACCTCTGAGCTAAATCCCTGGCCCCATACTTTATTATTCTTGAAAGCCCTTATATTTATTCCTTATATATTTGTTCATTTATTATCCACTTTCTTCACAAGACTGTGATCTCTAATTGCCAAAGTCCTTGGTTTATGGTAATCCCCAGTGTGTATGGCAGTAGTACTTGGAACACAGTAGGCACTTGGCAATATTTTGAAAACTCAACTGAGTATTTGGTTTTGATTTATTAGTGCAAGGAATTTGTAGTATGTGGTATTTGTTCCAGATTTCTTCTTTTTTATCTTATTCTGAAAGAAGAAATGCTAGATTCAAGGAAAAATCAGGCGGAACCAATATCAAGGGATTTTTACAGTATATCTACAGCCTGTCTACAGCCTTTTCCTACTTATCCACCCACTTGTTCCATGCTCTTATTTGGTCCTAGTGTGTCTATTAGTTGTGATTTAATTTCATTTATAGATATCGTAGCAATATATCAATGGCTAGATGCAGATAAAGAGGTGTCTACTTGTAAGAAAAATAAAACAAGGCCATCCTAAAGTCTAAAAATTCTGCAGAAAGCCACCATCCATTATGCCTTTAGTTGTGGAGTCAGGTTGGTGTAGAAGTAGTGGGAGGACCTTGATCAGCAGGCAGGGCCAACCTACTGGGTGTTTTAAATAAACAGAGAACTATGACTGGAGGATGTGGGCCTTAGAAAAGACAGAAAGGAAACTAGGGATATATAAATAGATGAATAGAGAGACTGACGTTTATTAGTCTTAGTCATGTAAGAGTCATATAAAAAAGGGTGTCCCTCTACTTTTATATATGGATTTGATTGCTTTTATGTTTGAAGATTAGGCTAGGAATGGTTTGGGGAAATGTTTTAAATGACAGTGGATTCTAGGGAGTTTTAATGGAGGAAGAAAGAAATGATACCAGGGAACAATTTGGAATTATACCCCAAGAGGGAGCTAGATCCAGGAAACTATTGAAAGTCGCCCTCTGATGGTGACAGGTAGAAACTCCTTAATAAAGAGCATCTGGGGACTTTGCTTTGATGATAGACAACTACCCAAGACAGTTACAGAAAATTTAGACAGGTTTAAGAGGAAAAGACCCCCAAATTAACCTGAGGATATGTCAGGCATTCTTCTGAAGGGGTGTAACATGGTTTTTGTAGGTGGAGAAGCCCTGAGGGTATTGTGAGAGGACAGGACAGGATTCGGATGAAAGGAGACCTGGCACAAAGGGCCTGACAATGACCACAGAATGGGTCTAGGGTACCATGAGCAAACAGAGCAATTCTTCCTTATTTCCACCTGAAGTGAACATTGTAAATATTACATGCTGAAATTTTAAAGGTAATAACTCGAGGAATGTATGAATATTTCCCATGGAATATTTTGCTTTTTGATCCAGTGAATATTTTCTTGCTTTTAAGTGCTCATTTTATAGAAGTTTATTTCTAAGTACAGGGTTTTTGATGTATTGCTTAAGAAAAATTGGTATCCATGCCCCCTAAACTCAATACAACTTTCAAAATATGTATTTTAAAGACATGCAAATAATAATTCAGTTCACATTCCAAGTAGTTAGCGTAATGTACAGATCATATGTCGTCATTTTATAAAGCACAGATATTGAAAAAATTAACAAAAGGATATGAATTTCAGATGTTACTGGTGCTGAGTAGCCAAATTAGTGCATCAAATAAACTTTTATTTATTTATTTATTTATTTATTTATTTATTTATTTATTTATTTATTTTGAGACAGGGTCTCGCTATGTAGTTCAGGCTGGCCTCAAACTCACAAAAATCATCCTGCCTCAGCCATATTTATTTATATTTATTTATTTATTTATTTATTTATTTATTTATTTATTTTGAGACAGGGTCTCGCTATGTAGTTCAGGCTGGCCTCAAACTCACAAAAATCATCCTGCCTCAGCCTCCAAGTGCTGGGACTACAGGCACACCCAGCCTAAACTTTTTATTAACAGTTATGTTATTTCTGATCTGAATACAATTTTAAAGTATTTTCTTTCTAATGTAACTTGTTAATGATATTCAGATGTTTTAGTTATGTTTTAGAAGTTTCATGGGAGAATTTTTGTTGACACATAACCCATTATAATGTTTTCTATTTAAAATGATAGCAAATATACATAGCATTTTTGTGCATAATATCTAGATTTCAGCAAAGTATTAACATAAGTGGGAAATGCCTTATTTAATTTTCAAGAAAATAGAATAATAAAAATGATGCAATATAAAAGATGTGGTCAAAATTACAGTAAATGTTTAAATTTTATTATAGTAAGAGATATATTACTATTACTTCCCCTCAAAATACTTCCCCTGACTTCATACAAATTTATCCCATTGTTCTTGCAACTTTTTAAAGCAGTTCCAGAATTCCTCTTTCCTGAGTATCTTTATAAGATGTGATCAAAAATACGGTGAACACCATGTTGTGCTTCTGAGTGCCATCTAATGGAGAGGCAGGCTTATAAAGACAATTACCAAAAAGAAAAAAATTACACCGTGTCCTCATCCACCTTATTCACTGGATCTGGCACCATGAAACTTCTGGCTGTACCCAGAAGTCAAAATGATCTTGAGACATAAATGTTTTGGATTGATTCAGGACATCAGAGCAGCTATGACAATGCAACTAAAGACACTTGTGAAAGAGGATCCCAGAACTGCTTCAGAACACAGCAAAAATGGTGAGATAAGTGTATTTGAAGCAAGGGGAAGTAGCTTGAGGGGATTACTGGCAATATGTCTTTTACTGTAATGCATTTTTAAAAATGTAAACATTCAGTGTATTTTTCAATCACATGTCATAAATCAAGAAAGCAATAATCTGTATTAAAGTGAAAAAACAGGAGTAAATTAGAAACAGGAAGTAAGATAGTTGAAATAAGTTTAGCCAAGTCAATAATGAGAATAATCAAATGAATTAAACTGATCTACAAGAGAGATATCCATAGGCTGGATCTTTAAAAAAAACAGCCATTTATTCTTTGCCAGGACACATCTAAAATATAGTAACACTGAATGCCTGAAAAAGGAATGTAGCCCAAGAGAAAGTATTTTCTTGCTCTCTCTCTTTTTGTGGCGGGGGGACTGGGGGTTCAAACTCAGGATCTGTGAGGCAGGCACAGTAGTACCACTGAGCTAAATCCCCAGCCTTCTTTTCTCTTTAAAATCTTCTCTATCTCTTGTCTCCTTTGCATCCTGCATCATCATATCTGCATGATGTTATTCCAGTATCTCTCAACAAAAAGGCCAAACAAGCCAGGTGTAGTGGTACATGCTTGTAATTCCAGCTCCTTGGGAGGCTGAAGCAGGAGGATGACAAATTTGAGGTTAGCCTGTAGAACTTAGTGAGACTCTGTCTCATAATAAAAAAGAAAAGGGCCAGGATATAGCTCAGTGGCAGAGCACCTGCAGGTTTGATCCCCAGTACCTTCCAACCATCTAGCAGAGACAACAATGTACCTTCCCACCTTGCAGCAAGTGTATCAGTCATCAACTTACAGTTCTCCTATACTTTCTGCTATGGTAGTGCAACTAGATTCTGCAAATTTCATTTTCCAGATTCCTCTGCTGGCCAGCTTTTGCCAAATGGAACTGGAGAGTGGAGGAGGGAAGGACTCTCTTCCAATTTCCAGTTTGAGTTTCAAAGCTGTCCAGCTATAGCACCCAGCTATGATTCCAGCCTGCAGCTTCTTTGAGTACTTCTAGTAATAATTTCACTGTGCTGCATCAAGACACTAGTTGCAGTCAAACATACCCATCTGTTTTTATCAATTTAGCCATAACCCCTTCAGGGTCTGGCTTCCACTCTCTCTTCACAGTCTAAGCTCTAGTGGCTAAATCTCTTTTCTAGATTATGGTAACCTCACTTCATCGTTTTTGTTCCTCCGCCTCTGGAATGAGAGCTGCTTCCGAATATATCGATCTCTGCATTTGCTTGACCTCATTGTAGCTTTACTCAGTATTCTAACACCCATGTGGACAATTCCCTTAATGAAATACCCTTCTTTTGAAATATCTAAAGTGGTTTCAACACTCTCAATTAGTGTTCTATCTCTATGGATAGATATATTTATTCTGGATATTTTGTATGAATAAAATTGTACAATATGCATTCTTGTGTGCCTCGTTGCTTTCACTTTAACAGCTTCATCCATATTATAGCATGTATCTGTACTTCATTACGGCTGAACAGTATTCCTGTATGGATATAGCATAGTTTATTTATCCACTCTTTCACTGATAGACATTTTAAAATGTTGTACTATCAATTTGTATAAGTTGTCTTACTACCAAATTGTATCATTTAAAAGTATAAATTCTATTCATTTAGATATCCTTTTATTGGAATTTTAAAGTTTTTTCTTAGAAGTCTTTACATCTGGGTGTCATCCTTGCACAGGGGCCATGCTAATCTTCTCTGTATCGTTCCGATTTTAGTATATGTGCTGCCAAAGCGAGCACTAGAAGTCTTTACATTTGGGATTCAATTCATTCCTAAATATTTCATAGTTTTGTTGCTAATATGAATAGTGCTTTTTATTACATTTTCTAACTGGTTGTTACTGGCTTAAGTGAATTCTTAATAGTTTATTGATTTTGTAGGTTTTCTAACTTCATTGTTCATGTCATTTACATGTAAAGGACAGTTATACCTCTTTCCCCCCAATCTCTTCAGCCGCTTGTATCATTTTTTTTTTTTACAGAGTTAGCCAGAACCTTGAGTATGAACAACAGCAGAGATCAGGGCATCCTTATCTTTCTCCTGACCTAAAATTTCTATATTAATATAATATTTGCATTGGTTTTTGACATATCAACTTTATCAAATTGAAATTTTTCTAATTTTGTTTTCTGAAAAAATTGTCATCCATAAGTGTTGAAGCATATCAAATAATTTTGTTTACTACTATTGTAATTTCTTGTTCTGCATTTTTCCATTAGCCTGTACATATGGGAAATTTTGATAGATTGTATTATTATATATAAAATCACATCTTTCCAAGATAAAATTCAGTTAATCAACTTTAAAATATTATTTTAAAATTCTCTATTAGATTCAAATAAGTATTTTAAATTTTATTTAAATTTATACATATAAATGAAATGGTCCTTTATGTCCCTGTATTATACAGTTTTTTTTATAATAGCCTCATAAAATTAGGCAACTTTTTCCTGATTTCTTCTTGTTGGACCAAATTTCATACACAAGCTACAAATGAACTGTTGTCTGCAATTTTGGTAGAAATTATTCATGAAAAAACATGTGGACCTGGCTGGGGATTTAGCTCAGTGGTGCTGCCACCTGCCTGGCAAGCACAAGGACCTGAGTTCAATCCCTGGTACCAAAAAACGACAAATGAACAAAAAAAGGTGGATCTGAGGGTTTTGGCAGGAGAGAAATCTTTGTCATTTAAGTGTTTAATATGCATTTATCTACTCTAAACCTCCATTTCTTCTGGTGTTAATACTGAAAACTTACATATCTGTAGAAATTGTTAAGTAGATAAAGCATTTACAATACCTTAAAAATTTTTTATACTTGTTTTTATTCCTTTTTCTGAATTTTTAACATGTTATTAGTTTTTCAACAGATTTAACAAATTAAAACTTTTAAACAAGCCCCTTAATGATTTCTGTTCCTCTTCTTACTGTTTTCTCTCCTTTTATCTTTTGGGTTTACTTTATTACTCTTTTGTTGACTTCTTGAATTCTATGTGTAATATGTATTTTTTTCCCTGCTAGCCACTTTCATGAGTAATCACTATCCCTATTAACAGCATAGATTAATTTTTGTCTAGTTTTGTATTTTATGTATCGTGTGTGTGTGTGTGTGTGTGTGTGTGTGTGTATGTTTCTTTTGGTATCGGGGATTGAACTCGGGTCCTTGCGCTTGCAAGGCAGGCCACTGAACCGCTGAGCCCCGGCCCTAATCCTTTGTTTTAACTTCATGAAACTCATTCATAGTTTGAATAGGGTGCTGTATCCTCTATTCACATCGCTTTGCAGTATTTTATGGTGAGACAGCAGCAGAATTTATCCATTTTATTGTTGATAGTCATTTAGGTAGTTTCCAATTGAAGCAATTACAGCATGTGGTAGCTATGAGCATTCTAATTGAAGTTTATTGATGAACATATGTACTCATATATATATTGAATATATATCAAAGAGTGGAATACTTGGTTATGTATGTGTTTGGTTTCAGTGGATAGTGTCAAACAGTTTTCCATAGTGGTTGTATCATTTACACTTGCACTAGCAGAGGAGAACTCTAGTTGTTCCACATCTTCACTTGGTGTTTTTCTTTTTTTGGTACTGGAGATCGAACTCGGGACCTTTCCCTTGTGAGGCAGGCGGTGGCGCCACTGAGCTAAATCCCCAGCCCTTCCTTTTTTAATGTTAGCTACTCTAGTAAGTTTGTAGTGGCATCTAGTTGTATTTATATTGAATTTTTGATGGTTAATAAAGTTGAAGCAACTCTTTTTTGTTTGCTTTTTCTTAGCTACTCAGATAATATCCTGTTTGTTTATAAGTGACTTTTTTCTATTTCCTAATACGTGAATTTATAACTGAAGTTGTGCCCCACAGATTTTTACAATATTGTCAGGCCTGCCTCTATCCACATCTACTATTTATGAGAAATGCCCTATGAAGATTTTACTGAGGAGGAAAAAATATGACTTTTGTTTCTAAATGTCTCTTCATAATGGTACTAGCCCTTGGGGCATTGTGTAGTGGCCCTAGAGCTCCTCTCCGGGGTAACCAATAAGGAAAATGGAGTAGGGAAATCATTCAGTTGCTGAAGACTTCAAGCAGTACAACCCATTGTCTTACTATCTACTCTATATTGAAGGCAAGATGACATGGTACAATTACATGACCAAATGAACAGTTTGTTTACTTAGAACAAATGCTTGAGGTGAGAATTCACACTAGTTTACCGGCAGAGCCTAATGATTTGGTCACCCAGTCAGAGACTTGGAAAGAATAAGATTGGAGAATTGGTGGCAATGAATTTAAGAAAGAGGTTTTTAAATTTTCTTGTCTTTAAAAACTTTCTGGTGGTGCCAATTCCCCCTCTAGCTACAGACCCATTTTTCTCCTTCCCTTTATCACATAACTCCTTGGGATTTGTCTATGTTTACTTTCTTTAATATCTTTATGCCCCCCAGCTCACATCTAGCCATTTAAAACATCCTCAACACTTTACTAAAATTACTATTGCTCTTATCATTGCATTGAATCTTCCAATGATAACTTTAGGTCCAAATATTATTTAACTTCTCAGCCACACTTGTCATAGCTAATTATCTTGGTCTCTGGGACACCATACTATAAATATGTATTTAAACTTTCCCTCTCTCCTAAAATTCAGATTCACATATCAATGTAGCATCTTTGCCCTTCCACCTTGGATGTCAAACATCCAAAACTGAGCTCTTATATTGCCCCAACTATGAATATGAAGCAAATCCAGACTTCTTGTGGTCCTTCCCATCTCAGTAAGCAGCAATTGGAGTCCAACTTCCTTTCTTTCTTTCACACCCACGTCCAGTCCTTCGGCAAATCTTGTCACCTTTACCATTCACCAGCCTCACATTGTCTAAACCATTATTACCCCTTGACTAGATTGTTAGAATATCCTCCCAGCTGGTCTTCTTCCTTGCTCCTTGTTGCTCCTTTCTTCTTCAGCTTATCTCAGCACTCCAGCCAAAAGGATGCTGTAGACACATGTCAGATCATGCTGCACCTCCACTAAAAATCTTCTACTGCTTTCCCAACTTACTCGTAGCAACAGCCAGATTTCTGAAAATGTCCTAAGTCTTACATGGCTTGACCTCCACCCTGCCTGACCATTCCCTTCCCGTCTCTGATATTCTCTCTTCATGCTGTCCCTTTGGGTTGATCCACTTCACCTACTAGCCTTCTTTCCACTCCTCAAATACACCAAGGACCCTCACTCAGGGCTTTCCCCCTGCTATTGACATGGTTTGCTTTCCCTCTATATTTGGTTTTGTGGGTTTTTTTGTTTGGTTGGTTGGTTTTTTTGGACAGGTCTTTTGTTGTTTGTTTGTTTTTGAGACAGGGTCTCACTATGTAGTTGAGACTGACCTGGGACTCACTGTGTACCCCAGGCTGGTCTCAAACTCACAGTGATCCTCCTGTCTCGGCCACCCGAGTGCTGGGATTACAGGCATGTGCCACCATGCCCGGCTCCCTCTATACTTGGAGTCTCACTTCGTTATATCCTTCAGTTCTTGAGGACCCTTTCTGCTACTTTATTTTAAAATGTTATAATCCTCCTCAGTCAATATTTTCTATATCTTTCTCCTGCTTTTTTATGAGTATCTAATAGAGACTATATATTTCAGGCATATATTTTATTTATTTTATGACCTCCACAAAGTTAAGGGCTTTTTTTTTCTTGATCACTCTGTCTCCAGCAAGTGGAACAGTATTGGCGCATAGTAGGTATGCTTGATATGCTTTTTGAAGAAATAATGTGCTGAATACTGCCTGTGTGCTTCTCTCAATCCATTTTCTCTGCACCCTGTGTCTTTTAACTGTTCGTTGTGCTTGATAAATAGGGGTCCTGACAGGAGACAAGCAGAGATAAAGAGATGGAAGTTAAATTGTTTATTCTCCCGAGTCTCTATTGGTCCAGCTACATTGCTCTTCCTTAGGTTGCCCTCTCTTCCCGTCTTTCTCCTGTGGGTCTTGGAAACTACTCTTTTGCTTCTACTTTTAGAGTCTAGGCAGGGTGACCACATGAGGGTACTGTACTAGCGTTTGTGGTTTCCCTATGTGGCCTTTTATAAATAAGCCTCTTTATTTTATTTTATTTTTTTGGTACCGAGGATTGAACTTGGGTCCTTGCGCTTGCAAGGCAGGCCACCGAACCGCTAAGCTAAATCCCTGGCCCAAGCCTCTTTATTTCCTTAAAATATCTTAATTTATGTGTATTATCTGTTTCTGCAGGGACCTCAAGTAAAAGAAAGTGAATGAATGAACTGTTCAGAATATATCCAGAGTATAAGAAAATTGGTGTCTCATGTGATTGCTTGCTAAAAGGTTCCTGCTATAGAGAAGGCTGACTTATCTGATGGATAAAATGAACTGTTCTGTTGATGTAGGTCAGCCTCTTTCCCAATGCTGGGAAACTGTTTCATGGGCTCATGAACATAGTGAAACAGTAGCAGATATGGAGTTTATAAAAAGGATTTACTAACACAGATCTTGTTTCCTTTCCAAGTTATCAACCTAGGAGCAGCAATCGCACCTGAGCCCTCACAGTTGGGCAAATGGAGGCATATAAGTTCATATACAGAATCCCTTCTATCATAAATGAGATTGCATTTTTTCTACACATGAACAAACACTCCAGATATGAATTTGTTCTCTTTGTCTGGATAGCATTTCCCATTTGCATCATGCTTGGATTTAGTGTTCATCCAGTAACATAATAGCTCATATATACAATGTTGGTTTGTTTTTTTGCAGTGCTAGGGATCAAAACCAGGGCCACATGCATGCTAAGAAAGCATTGTACTGCTGAGTTCAGCCCCCAGTCCTTGTATAACATTGTTTGAAACCAAGAAGCTTGCTCAATCATAAAAGAAGCATAGAAAATGTTGATTGTGCCCGTGGGATCTACTATTTTTTGTTTGTTTTTACCATAAACTCCATCATCTGGAAGTTGCCTGGTGGAAAAGTCTTCTGAAGACTTGGTGCTTTTTGGGGTTTGATTTTTTTGTTTTATGTTTTTGTTTTTGTTTTTGTTTTTGTTTTGTTTTGTTTTTGTACTACAGATTGTACCTCAGGACTTTTTTATTTTGAGGTAAGGTCTTATTTAAGTCACTAAGTCACCAGGATGAGCTCAAACTTTTGATCCTGCTGCCTCAGCCTCCCAACGTGTTGGGCTTTATATCTCATTTAATATTTTAATTTCTTCATTCCTTTGGGCTTCACATGTCTAAAACTCTTAATAACAAAGGAAGTAATGCTGGTATTTTTTTGTTTGTTTGGTTTTTTGAGACAGGGTCTCACTATGTAGTTGAGACTGCCCTGGAACTCACTGTGTAGCCCAGGTTGGTCTCGAACTCACAGCGATCCTCCTGCCTCAGCCTCCCAAATGCTGGGATTACAGGCGTGCGCCACCACGCCCGGCTCAGGAAAGTAATGCTAGTATCAGGAGATCTGCAATGATGAGATACTTCCTAGGCATGGGTGTGCTCCACCTACCACTGGGAATACAGGCTAAAAGGATATGATGTAGTCATCTTAGTAGGGAGAGGAGATAAATGTCTGAGTGTCTAGTGTCATTGACTTAGAGAAGAATCTGAACTAATACTGGTACAAAATGAAAACTTTGCCTCAGTGATTATTATTATCTGTTCCTTTGAAACTCTTACTCCTTGCAATTCAATAATTTTTAAATAACTTTCATCTATTAGAACAGTTATAGGGCCTGGCTATTCACTTCACAAATTAATTTTAAGGTCTTCCCCCTAAACTCTATATTGAATCTTGTTTCTAATGGCTTAGAGGGGCGAGGGTCAGTCTGGCTCTCCTCTGCCCCATGCAAGTGCCCTTTTGATGATGCGGTGGGGAAGAGAGAGAGCAAAGATGAAGACCTTTTCCTGGGGTTGCCATGGAGGAGTAAGGTCTTCCTCACGGCTCACAGTTCATGGGCAAAGTGCTAGTTCCCCACAGGCCCTGAAGCACATTCATTCTCAAGCCATTCTTCCCCTCAGCTACCTTCCTTCTGGGCTCTTCACATTCTGCTCCTCTTAGGTGTATTCATCTTTGCTTTGCCATGGTAGTTTCAGCAAGACTGTTGCCTTCAGTCCCCATTCACTCTTTGCAGATAACTCTTGCTTGTGAATGCACTGGAAACATGCTGTCCCTCCAGAAACTGGAAACCAGATGAGGGAGTTGTACTCACTTCCTCTCTCCTTTGTTAGTCTCACCAAACTATCTCTCTTCTGAGTTTCCCTTTGATCTCACAGTATCAGGGCAGATTCCTGGTAGTCCTTTGCCTAGGGAGACATTCTCCCTATATGCCCCCTGCCAGTGTCTTTGTAAAATAATCACTGTCAAAAATTGCTATGTTAAAGTGATTTTTTTCTCTTTTTGGTCAAGAAGTAGTCTCCCATTTAAACCTCTAAGTCTCAGTTTATAAAGAAAATAACAGAAATTTAAAAAATAAGCCCAGGTGGTTAAGTCTGGGCATATAGGCATGCCCTCCACTTTTAAAGGTGGCTGGAGTATCTCAGCTCCCTGTCCATGGATGTGCTTCTCAATGTCATACTGTAGCATTCTGGCCCTGTTGCTAAGCCTTTCAGAGACATGGACGACCTGATCATCTCAACTGTATACCCCTGGGGAGCAGGCTCAACTCTGGATAACAGTCCAGGAAGACACTTGAGCATCTGGCATTCTTTTATGCCAAATCTCAAGGTGATATGCTATGCCTCCCAAAAATAATTTAACCCAGTCCCAAATCAGCTCCTGACATGTAACAGAAGGCCTTAATTTCTGTTCTTTCCCTAGTGTATCCACTGTGGAGGAGGTTGACTAATTTCAATGATTAATTTCAAACCTGTTCCCTCTGTCTATACCAAGCATTCACAATTGGACACCTGGAAGTGACTTCTCTGAAATGATCTACCACTTTCTAAATTAGATAGGATGTCATGCAACAACGCCTTTGAAATGGAGGATCCCTTGCCCTGCTGCCTGTGATCTGGTCACTCTCCTCCAGACACTCCCTCCCAGGGGACCTTCTGGGCTCCCTCTCTGAGCCCTTTATAACTAAATATCGCTCAGGCTACCCCAGTTTAGAGAGCCTCATCCCCATAAATGGGAAAGTTGCTGGACATTTGTCAAACAGGACTCTTCCTAATCTGTCTCATGATTCCAATAACACTTCAAGGTATGTACAAAAGTCTGTGGATGTTCGCTTCTTGTCTTAGTCCGTTTTCTATTGGATGAAAATTTATTGATAAAATTTCTGCTATCGTTATTATTCTTTTATTTTTTAATTTTGAGGATTTTCCAGCCCATTACCTACCTGTAAGATAGTGATGGCTTTAGATTATTGGCACAATCTGCTTCTGTTAAAATTTCAAAATCAGTCAATGAGAAAAAACAGGAAAAAAGATATGGTCAACACTTTCCTTTAACTCTCTTTCCAATCCAACCACCAATAGCATATATTTAGTATACTTAGCCAAGATTTCTTGAATTCTCCTGATCTATACTCCTTCATGGTTTGGCAAGACCTTTACTTGGTGTTTCCTTCCTCCTCAGAATTTTGAGAGTTATTTGCCTGGGATCTCAATCATAGGTGAACTATGTATATCTCTCTGAATCTTAGACCCTCTGTCAGGATAAAACACATTGGCTGTCATGGTTAATTTGTGTCCACTTGGTGGGACCAGGAGGTGCCCAGATATCAGTCAAGTGTTATTCTTGGTGTGTCTGTGAGGTTGTTTCTAGATGAGATTAACATGTAAATTAGTAGACTGAGAAAGGTGAATGGCCCTCCTTGATGTGGGTGGGCCTTATCCAACCAGTTGAAGGCCAAAATAGAACAAAAAAGACTGATTCTTTCCTGAGTAAAAGGGAACTCCTCCTTCCTGACTGCCTTCAAACCGGAACATCACACACACACACACACACACACACACACACACACACACACACACAACTATTAGTTCCTATGGGTTCCTGACTCAGGAGATCTCTGACTGATATCCTAAATATGCCTAAAGACTTTCTCTGGGTTCAATCCTGATTTTCCCTATAAGTCAGTGACTGCCCTTTCTACCATCAGTGTTGTGAAGTCACATTTCACTGCATACTGTGATGTCTGTACCTCTTCTCTGGTAACCAGGATTTCATTTTCCTGCTACCTCTATTCAGCCAGACTACCTAGTGAACTTCTCACCTGACCTCTTCAGCACCCAGCACTGTCAGTGGGGAACAAGGTTGCTACATGACCTTCTGGGTGCTCATCTTGCTTACACAGTGGAGACCCATCTGGCCACCTGGACATACATATTACTACCATCAGCCCCTGACTGGCTTGGTTTCTGCTAGTGTTCCTCTGCACATCAATCCAGATCAAAAGGGAACACTGGATTCTATGCTTTGGGGACTCAAGTCAACATGCTTGCTCAGATTCTGAAGCTAAGCACTCTCCAAACTTGTTAGTAAGAGCTTTTAGAACCTTTGTGGGAAGCGCTATCCTTATTCACCTTTCATTTTGCATAGATTGACCTGAAGAGTTTTCTTCTCTTTTTTTTAATACTGCTTAAAGGAAAAGTGTCTTCAAGAAAAAAACTTTTTTAAAAACCTTAGCGATAAGTCAAAGAATGAGAAATGTATGCAAGCTAACAATTAAAAGGTAATAAATCCCAGCTCAAAGAGTCTGGATTATGCCACCCCAAAGCCACTTCAAAATGAGAAGTCATAACTAAATGCCCAGGCAGCACTGAGTGGGTATCAGAGTCAAAAACAGCTATTTATAACTTAGGACTTGGAGATTTCCCCAAAATAAGAGAAATATTTTTCCCTTCTTCCCCATACCCCTGCTCCTTATTAGTTTAGGACAGTATGGGAGGGAAAAAGATATTGTTGTTTGATATTTATAGCCATGATTGGTGTGTGCAATTTCAGAGAAAGTCCGGGCCCTGATGTCTATAATAACCACACAGTGGGCATACTATCTGTTTGGTTTGCCAATCTCACACAGTCCTATATTTCAAATTTTAGGGATAATTTGAATAATTATAAATATGTTAAACTCTCATTATGGGATCATTAGATACACTAGGGAATCAAAGGATCAAATCTTGGGTCAGGGTTGTAGTTCAGTGGTAGAACTTGCCTAGCCTGTGTAAGGCCCTGGGTTTGAACAATCCCCAGCACCAAAAAGAAAGAGAAAAAGAAAACAGGATCATATCTCTCCCCCAACACATTTATAATACATACATATTTTGGAAATGGACTACTAGTTTACTATGGCATATGGGAGCCTAAATCTCAGAGGGGTGGATACTAACCTCTTGAAAGGTAAAGGACTAGTAGGCCAGCACATAAGTGGGTCATAACGCCATTAAAAGGTCAGTAGGATGCTAAGGCAGATTCTGTTCAATTTATATCCAAAATCTATATTCTCCCTTTTTCCTTGTAAAGAGAACATCAGTTTTGCTCAGGGAAGCACCATGCTATAGATCATAATGAGGCTAATTGAATTATAGCAGTCCTGTCTTAAAATTTCCAAACCTTCTTAGAGTTTGAGATGGCTTTGTGATCTAGTTCTGGCCCTTAATGGGTGAAAGAAAATATCATCCAGCACTTGGAGCAGATGGGAGTAAATCTAGAGAGCCTTTTCTTTTCTGGTAAGAGAGAGAGATGCCAGTGGTTCCCCCTCCCTTTCTTCCTGTGTTCAACATGAGCAAGATGCCTAGAGCTGGCCTGATTATCTTGTGACCATGATAAAGCAAAGCAAGAGCTACTGACCAAGTAACAGCAGGCCCTCCACTCTGGATTTTCTATTATATGAGAAAAGTAATGCTGGGTGTGGTGCACACTCCACTTAGGAGGCTGAGGCAGGAGGATCACTTTGAATTCAAGACACACCTGGGGTACACAGTGAGTTTGAGGCTAGCCTAAACTACATAGCAAAATCCTGTCTCAAAAAGCAAAAAAGTTTAAAAAAACAAAAAAGTAAGAAAATAGAAGTTTCTGTTGCTTGCAAGCCAAAAGCAGTTATACCTGATACAGGTCCTTAAGCAAAATGAAGGATTTCAACATAGGCATCTTTCTCACCGGGGGATAGAAGCTTCTAATATGTTCTTTACAGTGATTCAAATCCTAGGTTGGCTATCTGATATAGCCAAGGGATAACCTCTTAAATACTAATAGGATCTCCCTGGTGGGCTGCATTCTGTCGGGTAAAAAGGTCAAACAGGCTGGGATTTTGCTCAGTGGTACCACCACCTGTCTCGAAAACACAAGGTCCTGAGTTCAATCCCCAGTACCAGTACACACACACACACATAAACAAAAGTCAAACAGTTGCAGTTGCAGGTATAAAATGCTGGAAGGCAGTAATAATTATGCTCCAGTTTTCCAGCTGGCAGATAATAAGACTGGCCCTATGCCCTTAGTACCAAACTTAAATTTGCTTGAAGGTTCAGGCTGTGGCTTTGGAAGATCAGTGTGGGACAAGGATGCTGCATTCTCCTTCTCCTACAGCAATTTAAAGTGAGAAGCGGTCTGTGGTCTGTGCTAGCAGAACCCTGGGACAGGTGCAGTAGGATGGTGCTTCTCAGAGCAGTCAGCACAGCAGCACGGACTGGGCATATACTCAACTGCCCAGTGGGCCAGGCAGAAGAGAACTTCTGCCCTAGGTGTCCATAGTAACTGCAACCTCATCTATATCTCCTTGATGAACAATATTGGGATAGCTAGAAAAATTCTTTAAGATTGTTTTCTGGGCATCTGGTGCCAAAATGCCCAATCAGTGACACTAAATGAAACTAAAGCATGCCTTTCCTTTACTCTCTATGAGTACAGTCCCCTAAATGTACTCAAGAAATTAAAGAGACTGGAACTAAAAGAAGTTTTGGGGTGGGATTCTTAATGCCTGAGGACTCTTCAGAGAGTGATATCAGGAAAGGTGACCTGTGGCTCCTCAGTCAGTGAATTGCTTTGAGCTTTTTATTTATTTTTTCCTGTACTTGGGATTGAACCCAAGGCCTTTGAACTGAGCTACAACCCTAGCTTCACCCTTTTATGTTTTATTTTGAGACAGGGTCTTGCTAAACCACTAAGTTGCCACAATGGGCTCAAATGTATGATCCTCCTGCTTCAGCCTAGACTGCTGGGATTACAGGTAATGCACCACCATACCTGGTCTCTCATGCTTTGGGTCTCCAGCGAGGTACAAAAAGTGGATGCTGGGTTGTTTTCACCCCAGCCCTACACAACCTATATGAGGAGGTAAGGAAGCATTTCACAAATGTCCAAGGAGATTATCATTGTGCCCTTGTCGGTCACTGAAAACCCATTAAACTAATCGTTGTCTGGGAAAAGTGTTTTTTGCTTTATCTACACAAATACATGGGAAGATGGGAAGGCATGTCTGTTTTCTATTAGAACAAAACCACCTTGAGATGGCTGGGACTGCATCGGGATGTGCCAGACCATGAACACCATCACAGTGACTCATCTTTAGACCTACGTGTCTAAAGTCTCCCGGGCACAAGGCAAGGAGGCTTGTCACAGATATTAATGTACAAATGATACAGAACTCAGGCTGTTCCAGTCACCCAAGGTATAAAGAAGATCAAAATGCCCCACTCATCCTTAAAATTGGTGATAGGAAGGGAACTCATGAGATACTAGCAATGTAAAGAACATGATTTAATATATCATTTGGAAGTCAGAAGCTAAGACTTCTGAGCTCTTGGTGGATGTTTTTCTTTTACTATCCAGTCTAGAAATCACTCTGAGGAGATGAATGTCCCATCATTCATTATTTTAGATTTTAGATTATGAGACTTGAGTAACTAAGGTGCTACTGTAATGTCAAACAGCTCTTAATAGGGGAATGAATCTGAACCTCCTTTAAAAATGAAGACATAAACTACTAAAACAAATGGAAGGGTTTGTTGTGTTCAAGAAAACCAATTTACTGCTCAAACAAATAGCACACTGTTACCTTTGGTTTTAGCACAAACTATGCTACCTGTACTACCTGATGTAAAATTTTTTCAAATAAATAAAATATTTGGTGGCAATTATAATAATGATACATGGGATGTATGAATCATGTTACTGGAAGGAAAACCAAAACTAAGAAGCAGTATACAACTAAAGCAGAATCTTTTCTTGCCATTATGTGTAAGTTATCCTAGGGAAACTTCTCTTTGGTGGACTTATACCCATTCATGCAAATATTCCACTATAGCAATATTTTGTTTGGTTATATTGTAACAGATAAATTAAGTTATACATGGTATGTTTTGATTATAAGAATCAACTAGTGTTTTACCTTTAAGAATAACAGTGGGTCATTCCCCACATTTCTTAATAATTGTACCTCCTGGCTTATTACCACCCTTCCTTAACCTTGGTGAATTTTATATACATGTAAATGACCCTGGCCTCTCAATTCTTCACTTTCTCCCCTCTAATAATCTTCTCTGCCACTCCAACTACTCTCTTCCATGGTCCTGACTTAGATATTATTACTTAGAGGTGCAACCTCTCTATAATCTTAATTTCATGTTCCTACTCTCTACTTGCCTTATCTTTCTAATTTACTCTCTAATCCTAGTGGGCTTTTTGTATTCTACAAACAAACTACATACATTTTTTTTCTTAACCAAAAATCACATCAGGTAATTAATTATATAAGATAAAGATTATGTCAAAGACAAAAAGGACATTTAGGGTCACACTATTATTTAAAGCAATAAACTGCCTTTCGCAAAACACATATCATTTCATTTGTGCCAATAAATTTTTCTGTCCTTCCAAACCTTGATGTTCTCATTCCCTCTCACCCAGCTTAAATTCCATGGCCCATCATGGGGAGCTCTCCCATTCGCATACCTTTCCTTGGTTCGTTTGTCCCCTTATTTCTTTTTTATTTATTCGTTTTCCCCCTTTCATTTCTTTTTCACTGGAATAAAATGTAGGTTAACTCAACTTCTCTGCTCAGTGTGTGTCTAAACTCATGCAGCCAAATGAAGCTGATATGTCTGTACACACACACACACACACACACACACACACACACACACCCTCACTGGTGTCATTTTAAATTCATGATCAGTAGTCTCAAATACATCCTTAATGCTGCCTGACACATATCCTAGTCCTTTACTCTCCCTGTCTCCTAAATGACTCACACCTTTTCCTCTCTCCACATCCTAATAGTTCACACTCCTTTCTCAAGCTCAGTGGATGACCTTATTTTCTACTTCAGTGAAAAATTTTAAGCAATCAAGAAAAAACTTTCATAGACTCCCACCACTGCTTATACCCATGTACCACTGCCTGTCCCCATGTATGATGCCTTTCTGGTTACTTCACAATGCAATGTCCACACTCCTGGCTAAAATCAATCCTAGCACATGTGTGCATTAGACCTCATTCCCATTGCCCCTCTAGAGATACTATTCCTGCAATTCTCCTTCCTTTCTGTCTTGCATTAACAACTTTTTGCCTCCCTCCTGGATCATTTTCATTAGCATATAAATAGGTTGGTTTCTTTCTCATTTTAAAAACAAAAACAAAACAAAACAAAGCAAAACATCAGGCCCACTGTGTCCTGGCACATGCCTGTAATCCTAACACTCTGGGAGGCTTAAGCAGAAGGATCTCAAGTTTGAGCCCAGCCTAGGCAATACTGCAATTTATGAAGACCTTGAATAAATAAATAAATAAATAAATATTTAAAATAAAATAAATGGGCTCAGTGCAAAGGCCCTGGGTTCAATCACTAGTACCAAACACATAGGCACATGTGCATGCACACGCACACAGCCACACACACACACACACACACACACACACACACACCCCATCACCACCCAACACAACAAAAATAAAAATCTTGCTACTTCCATTTTTTGCTCCGTGTCTTCACAGAAAAAATATCTGACAGTCTCTAGTTTCTTTGCTCTTGTTCTTTCCTAAATCCATTAAATCTACTGCAATCAGACATTTGTTCCTACCACTGTGTACAATTGCTCTTAATAAGTTCACCAATGACTGCCTAGAGGTGAAAGCCAAAGGTCGGCTCCCCAGCCTTGATCCTGCTTGATTTAACAGGAGTATCCGACAAAGCGGACTGTTTGCTTTTGGATGAGTTTTCTTTAGTAGGCTCCTAGGACTCTGTGTTCTTGACTTTCTTTCTCCCTTACTAGTCACATCTCACTTTCCTTTGCTAGTTCTTCCTTGCTTCTGCTCCTTCTGGTTCTTCGTGTTGGAGTGTCCCAGGGATCTCTCTCATTAATTTGATTCACTTATAGCTTTAAATAATATCTCTAGCCTGTTAACCCCCAATTTTTCTCTTGTTTCAGATTTCTTTCCCCAATTCTAAAGTTATTTATTCCATAGCCTAGTCAAATTTTCCCCTAGAATGTCTAATATAAATCTTAAACTCAATAAGTCCGAAATGGAATGCTGTTTCTTCTCCTGTAAATCTGTCCCACTTCTAGCCTTTATCTCAGCTAATGGCAATTCCATATTCTTGTTTGTTCAAGCCACAGATCTTTGAGTCATCCTAACTCTTTTCTTTCAGTCCCCATAACCAATCCTTTAGAGAAGTCTACCAGCTTTTCCTTTAAAATGCTGACCAGCATTTGTCTGTTTCCAGTCAGCCCCTCTACTACCTAGTCACCATCATATCAGCCCCCTATCAGATGACTTTGCTTAAACTTCTAAGAATGATCCTTTGAAATTTACAGCAGATAATATCAGGCTTCTGCTCAAAATCTTCAATAGCTCTGCACTTTACCTAGAGAAAAAAAAAACCAAAGCCATGGTAGTGGCCTTTAAGATCCATATAATAATGGTCTGGCATTCCTCTTTTCTTTTTGACAGTAAATCTCTTCCAGCCACACTAGTTTCCTTGGTTTTTCTTGACCTCATAATAACCTGGGATTGTTCCTTTTTTTTTTTTTTTTTTAACCTAGGGTTGTTTCTTTGGTTGATACCCTCTGCCAGGAATGCTTTCTCCCAAGATATCTGCTGGCTACTTCTCTTTGCTTATATCTTATTTGTACAATGAAACCCATCCAGATTACCCCATTTATTACCTTGCCCTAACCCTGACTGGCACCTAGCACTCTTGAACACACAGCCTGCTCTGTTTTTTGTTAATTCCACATTGCCTACTACTTAACATATTATATCATTTATTTTTTATATCCTTTCTGGAATATAAAACCAAATGGACAGAGATCTTTGTTTTATGTACTTGTATATTCCAACATGCCTCTGACAGTGCCTGACACATCATAAGTGCTCAATAAATTATGGTAGAATTTCACACCCCAGCTCATGAAAGCCTTGTTTCTCAGATAAAAGCCATGGCTAAACAATAGCCCCAGGAGGAAAGCCTTGAGCTTCCTGTCTGGGAATCCTCAGTGCATTCCAGTCCAATCCATTGCTGACCCCTGCTGGATCTAACTGACTGGTTTGCTGTCCCTCTCTGGGTGGGATTGTGGGCGGGGGTGGGGGAGTGTCCTAGAACTCCCAGGGGACCAGCAGGATAACAAAAAGCTGCAGACTCTCTCTGCCATCTTCCGAGCCCTCACTTGAGAGCAGCAATAATAACTATAATCCTTCCTCTCCCTCAAGCTTTTCCTTACTTTAGGGCCCTGAGGAAGACAGACTAAAGCAGTTTTTTTGGTTTTACTTATATTTGGTAAGTGTTTTTCTCTTATAAGGGCCCAATAGGCTAGAGGGGAAAAAAATAAAATTAAAAACTTTGCTCTTGGTTCCACTATTTGAACTAAGAACTTAATTTTAACTAAACTAAAAACTGACATGGAGACAGTATATTCTGAAAAATATCAGTTGTTTTCTTTTTCCTTATCTTTCCTCATCTGGCTATTCCCTTTTCAGCCAGAGGCATCTTTTTGCTCCAGAGACATCATGGTTGTTACCATAGCAACATAAAGATAAATAATGACACTAGCTCAGCTTTTGAAGCCCATCACTAACAAGCAATCTTAAACACTCTGTTGGGAAATAAAAGGGAACTCCAAATTCCAACATCTCTTTGATATTAATAACAAGGTGTGTAGTCTGAGCAGGAATAGTAGAGCAAGCTCAGGGATTGATAGCAAGTTGGCATTATCAAAGGAGGACGTATAGTGCTCTTCTGGTTGGAAGAGCCAAGAAGAGGAGGAAGGTTAGAGAAATTTAATTTGGAGTACTTGAGTGCTTGGATTCCTGAGAAGGAACCTGTCATGCCCCTCATCCCTTAGGCCAGGATGGGGAAGAAGGACTCGACATCAGGAATCCTTTATGAGCTGAGGTAGAATCTAGAACTTCTGGGTTAGTCCTTCATGCTCAGCATGGTACTGGAGCAACATGGTACCATTTAAGGTCTAATGTTTACATGGCCAGAAGGTGTGGAGGCAGGACGACCTATATTTATACCATGGTTCCCTGTGGCCTTGCTGTAGCACAGAAAATCACAAAGGCTTTGGTTTTTGTTTTTGTTTTTGTTTTTGAGACAGGGTCTCACTCTAAAGTTCATGCTGGCCTTGAAATCCTGCCTCAACTTCCCAAGTGCTGGGATTACAGGTGTGTGCCACCATACCCTGTTTTTACAAAGGTTTTTATATCTTGCTGAGAGACCCCAGGTCCACAAGAGGACAATACAGTCACATCCAGTCCAGACCACATAATGACGCACAGGAAGACAACACCCTCCAGCAGTAAGAGCATCAAACAAACAACAACAACAAATAGTAATCCAGACAGAAGGACCTCAACTTTTTGGGAGCAAGCATAAAATGCCTAGTACCTCCTAGAGCAGCCACACATACAGAAAATGAGTAAAGAGCCCAGCACATCACACTGCTCCAAGACTGTCCCTCTTTTTGCTGTTGGAAAACTACGTAAGCTCCCTGGTATTCAGAAACTGTAGCAGGAAGGAGGGGGATCCTTAGGAGGAGACAACTCTGAAAGAGTTTGAAATTTGAATTGAAAGACTATTTATGTAAAAACACCAAATTAAATTGAATGGAAATATTTTAAACTGCAAACGAATAACTACATGTAACTAAGTAATCCTAATTGACAAGTTTAAATTTTTGCTCTGTCATTAACAAGAGTGGGAACTTGTTAAGAAGATGCAAGTTGCTGTAGATAATAAAGAACACATAATTTTTTCTTTCAAACTGAGCTGTAAACATTTGTACATTTTGACTGTTTTGCTCGTCTTTATTAAACTAGAATATTTTCAAAGGGGGAGGTAGTGCTGTGGATCAAGCTCTGTCTGGATCATCCAGAGCTATTGTGAAAGATAAGAGTATTTGGGAGGAGGTTTTTCTGAGCAAATTCAGGTGGGATTTAAGCTCCTGTAAGATTAAACTTGTGTTGACATTCTTACCTCTGTACCTGTAGGGAATTTAAGACAATGGGGATGGAGCTCTGAATTTCTTGTGTTGGACAGGGGAAGACAGAAAGCCCCTATCCCAGTCTAGTACGGGCACCAGAGCTCCTGAGCTGGCCCCCTCAGATAGAGGCAAAGATATTCTTGATTGTTTGGGATTCTTAGTGTACTCTATTTTCCCCCCAAACTATCTACCTTTGCTCAGCTAATATTTTGTACTTTGAATTGTATTTTGACTCTGAGATTAATCTTGTCACACCTGTTTGCTTTTATTAACATTTGCCTGCTATATCATTTCCTACCCTACCACCTGCTTCTGTTTTTCTAAACAAGCGTATGTTGTTTCCCTCCTTTAAAATATTTTAAAATGTTATTCTTTTTACCTTATGCAGGCAATATATGAAGATAGTCTCCTTTTAAAGAATGACAGCTTTATATATAAGGCTAAAACACACCAAAACTATTACTTTCAGTTCTAGTCTTTTTTGAGTTTTTTTGTTTGTTTTTGGGTTTTGTTTTTTGGGTTTTTTTTTTTTTTTTTTTTTTTTTTTTGGGTTTTTTTTTTTGGGTTTTTTTTTTTGGGTTTTTTTTTTTTGGTTTTTTGAGACAGGGTCTCACTATGTAGTAGAGACTGACCTGGAACTCACTATGTAGCCCACGCTAGTCTCGAACTCACAGCAATTCTCCTGCCTCAGCCTCCTGAGTGCTGGGATTATAGGTGTGCACCACCACGCCCAGCCTTTTTTTTGAGCTCTAGTCTTTCCTTTAGATCACCTAGCACTATCATTTGGTGTGTTTCTTATGTCCTTATCTCTTTCTTAAATATTTGGCTCTTTATTGTATCCTGGATATTAGTCCTGGCCTGTGAAATAATTTTTTCCTCAAAGTGCAGCATGATCCTTAAATTTGTTCATGTTTTTAAATACAAAACATTTTTGAATTTTGATGTAGTCAGATATTATTTCCTTCTTTAAATTTTTATTCTTAAAATTCCTAGCCAGGCATAGCTGTCCACACCTATAATCCAGCACTCTGGGTGTCTGAGGAAGGAAGATAGCAAGTTCAAGTCCAGTCTGGGCAATTTAGCAAGACCCTGTCTCAAAATAAAAGATAAAAAGGGCTGATGATATGGCTCAGTGTGTAGGTCTTGGGTTCAATTCCAGTAATGCCCCTCCAAAAGTAAAACTGTATCCAGGGCTAGAGATTTAGCTCAGTGGTTCTGTCATCTTGCAAGCACAAGGTTCCAAGTTCGATCCCCGGTACAAAAAAAAATAAATAAAGAAATAAAATAAGAATAAAACTCTGTCCTAAGTAAGACAAACTTCCCTATACTTCTATGCTCAATGGTGTTTGATTTATCAATATTTTATACTTCTATAATTTATAACTTTAAAATGTTTAGGTATTTACCATCTAGATATTTTAAAAAGATGTGGGACAAAAAATAATGTTTCATTTTGTTTTTCTTTCCCCATGAAAATTTGATTGTTTCTGTAGCACTTATCAACTAGGCTATTTTTCTCTCTGTATGTGAAGCATCATTGCTCTCATCACCATATTCTACATTTACAGGTCCCTCTTTTTGAGTTCCCTTTTCAATTCCACTTACCCACTGTACTTTGAATTGTATTTTGACTCCCCCTTTTTGTTTTTCTGAGCTCCTTTTTCAATTCCACTTACCCATTTGTCTATTCCCTACACTGTACCACACTGTTCTAATTATTATAGGTTTGTAATATGTTGCTAACTGGTAAAGCAATTTACCTCCTTTCCTTCATGTTCTTTTGTATTATTTCCTTTAAAAAGCTCCATAAAAATCACTTTGGGTTTATGTTAGGAATAGCATGAACAATAAAGACTAATGTGGGAGAGGTATTGAATTTTACATTTATTAATGGTTTTTTGAGACAGGGTCTCACTATGTAGTTGAGACTGACCTGGAACTCACTATGTAGCCCAGGCTGGTCTCAAACTCACAGCAATCCTCCTGCCTCAGCCTCCCGAGTGAGGAATTACAGGTGTGTGTCACCATGCCCGGCTTTACATTCTTTTTAAAAATCTATTAAGTCATATTTTTAAAAAAATCTTACTGAGTTTATTAGTATTTTTTAAGTATACAGCACAGTTAAATACATCATTGGGATCTTGTACCCTTACATGACAGGTCTTGGTTCTCATTTTTCCCCATACCCCTGCCCTTCCTTCACCCCCTCACCTCTCCCCTATTTACAAAAACTTTGTTTGTATTTTCTCCTTTTCTTATATTTTTTCTTGTCTCTTATTTCTTTTCCCCTACTCTTTCCATTTCCCCTAAAGTCATATTTTCTTTTGTCATTCACTAAAGATTTTACAGTCCTCTCCATAAAGATTTTTTTTATGTTATTTGTTGCTATCATATATGGAATCACTTAGTCTGCTATACATTTTCTGATTGATGATTATTGGCATGTAAGGAAGTAATTGATTTTCTCCTTTATTCAATT